TTCCATTGGAGAAGGATATTGTATTGAGAATTGTATTTTTTTAATTTCCAATAGGGATATGTTTGTAGGCAGTGATCTAATGGTAAAATAGGAACCTATGGAAATTATGCTCAAAATGGACATTAGGTAGTCAATACCATTCAAGAACCCCTTTTCAAATTTTTCCTATCGTTTTTCTTTTTCTTCTGGCTAAGACATTGTGCATCGCTCACCCTGTACAATATATTGTGACATTCGAATGAAAATAGACAATTTCAATTTTTTATTCATTTGACTTCCTAATCCTGTAAGAATAAAAATGAAATTTCATTTCTAAGTCAATAAAAAAATCAATAATAATTGAATGCAATATTTTCCTTTTTCGTATATGAATATTTTTATTCAATCACGTTTACTCTTAAATAAAAGCAAAAACGAGAAAATATTTCAAATAATGCGAGCGCTTCCCATTAGCGAACATAAGATAGAGATAGGTATCAGTAAACACTGCGGGTTGCCTGAACAATATTTTTGCCTCACTCGTCGTTCACAGAGGGTCCCTTCCAGTTGTTTATATTGAGTTCATTGATACCGGGTGACACAGGAGACATGTAACGGTCTGTAGTTTTTTTTCTATTTGAAGAGATGAAAATTTGAAATTCACAAGGGTCATATTATCGATGATGACGCTTCCCTTGAACCCAATGACAATTTTCTTCAACCACCTGTTTGATCGGAAGTAGACCCAACTTTTAATTTTCAAATAGCACCTTGTATATTTCTGTAGCCTATCTTATTTGTCTTGAAATTCTCTATTCAACGATGTACCACAATTTGTTATTCGTTAATTATTTGGCTGTTAAATTGCATTTTATTGAAATACATGAAGTTGGCTGTGGCCCGAATTCAATGACATTTCGATGCTTGATAGGCTTAGAAATCCAAAGATCATCACTTAGGCGATATTATCAGAATATTTTCCATATCCTAATCGGTAGCAGAAGATTGCCAATAATTCCATTGTTTAAAAAAAATCCTCCGAAAATAACTCACGATATTGAGAAAACTAAGATAGAAATTTGTGGAGATGACTTTGTGTGTCTTGTTTATGTAAGATAGAAACTCAGTGTTTTCCATTTGGCTACTTGTGAAGAAAGTATTTGTCTTTCATTTGCTATGTAAATACAGAGTGGGCCTTCGAAAACGAAACAGAGGCTCTGTAGGTCGCCAAAACCGGATTATCAAAAAAAACTGAAACAGGTCAACTACATTTTCGAGGGGGACATCTTTCTAAAATATTTTCAGCCCTGCGGCGTTGCCGCTTCTAAAGAAAAGAAGCAACAACTTTGTTATTTCAAATGGAACACCTTGTATTTTATTGCATTTTTAGATTCTCCCCGAAGAGCTGATTTCATCAATGCATCACACTTAGGGTCTAGCTGTAATGGTTTCAGGGATATAAAGTGTTCAAAATCGAGATTTTTCAACTTTAACATTTTTGTGTGTCGAAACTATTCATTATTGGTCAAAACGTCTCTCATGTCCCGATCTCAACTTGTGATTTACTATCTACTGACATTTATTTGAAACAAATACAGGGTGGTTCAAGATTCAGAATTCTGATCACCCTGTATCTGTTCCAATTAAATGTCAGTAGATAGTAAATCACAAGTTGATATAGGGACATGAGAGCCGTTTCGACCAATAATGAATAGTTTCGACACAAAAAATGTCAAAGTTGAAAAATCTCGATTTTGAACACTTTATATCCCTGAAACCATTACAGCTAGACCCCAAGTGTGATGCATTGATGAAATCAGCTCTTCGGGGAGAATCTAAAAATGCAATAAAATACAAGGTGTTCCATTTGAAATAACAAAGTTGTTGCTTCTTTTCGTTAGCAGCGGCAACGCCGCAGGGCTGAAAAGATTGTAGAACGATGTCCCCCTCGAAAATGTAGTTGACGTGTTTCAGATTTTTTTTCATAATCCGGTTTTGGCGACCTACAGAGCCTCTGTTTCGTTTTCAAAGGCCCACTCTGTATAATTGGATACATGACACTGAAATGTTGTAATAATTGATGTATCGTCCTTATAGAAAATGATATATTTCGTTACCTACTTACAAAAACGCAGGCACAGGTGAGAACTATTCCGAGTAGTGAAAGAAGTTCCCTTGGAAACCAATAACTGTTTTAATAATTGCGTTGGCCTATGAAACACTTTGGTTCAATAACATAATATCATTCATCCGCTCTGGATGAGATGGATTCAGAAGTGAGGAGAATGGGCGTGTACACCTTAGTAGAACTTTCAACTCAAACCATGTTTATAATGTTCCTTTTATACATAAATAATGATTGACGACATCGACACGATCGAAAAATTAACTGGAATGTATTATTTTTGGACATAAATAATAGTACCTTCTGAAAACGCACCCTCTTATGACGTAGATACCTCATCTCGCCATAGTTAAAAGAAAATACCAAACGCCCGACGGAGACTGAGGCAACTGATATATTAATTCTTTCAACTGTGATCTCGCGCTAATTCACTCTGTCAGAAATCATGTATCATTCATCTCTGTCTGGAATAGTCTTGTTTCAGTATTAGGGTTTTGACGTCACATCATCGCCTCGTTTTCAGAGGTCCGAAAAATCGGGAATTTCAATAATTTTTTATAAAACGTAGGGAGCTCACAGCAAGAAACGGTTTGCGGTGGTGAGCTAGTTTGGGTGAGTTCTATCGAATTATGAAATAAAAATGTTTTTGGATAAAAGCCCATTGTAGGGCACATAAATAGGGCACATAAAAAGTGTGTTTTAATGACTGGGAATTTTGGTACAAATGAGCATACAAGGTGTACTAAAAACAAACAGACAAAAATCTTTAATTAGTTGCGTTTCATTTGTTCCATTTTGGTAGCGGTGGTGGAAACAGAATGACTTTTACAAATAAAACGCGAATCTTCATGACCTTGCATGGGAGAAGTCACATGAGGTAATATTTATACATTGGGGCTCCAAATGACTTCAAAATCATGATACTAGAGTTATGAATCTAGAATATCAATCAACGAATATTTGGAGCAGTGATTGTGGTAATTGGAAAAACTTCTTTGAGATCGAGAGGATCATTTTTATCTGGGAATGAACATATGAAACCTGCCTTACTTGAAAGAATCATAAACTTGTGTACTTCACGATAAAAATTTCTTCTAAATGTCTGCTACTTTCTAAAAATTTGGTCATTCCACGTTATTCCTTGTGGTGAGACGGGAATGTAAAGTAGCAACCGGAGTCGAAAAAGTTGCAACTAAAACGACACATTAGGCGTTTTCGGAAACTTACTCTGGGTTGTTGACTCGATCTGAACGGGTCACGTGATGGATCAGTCGGATCACTTATCCTAATATTATAGTTTACGAACTTATCAGGTTACTATTTTATTGAGTTAGCCTTATACCTCTTCGAATAAAACTTCTTGATTTCTTACAGCAGTATGCAATTTTTTCAGTTTGCTATACGATATCAATATTTTCGGATCAATTTCTCCATATCTTTAAAAGCATACCACTAAACTCTTAAAAGATACACGTTGTTATTGTTCTAGAAATGATGAATATTGCTTCTGCTCATGATGTTGGTGTATTTTCATCATCAAACTAATGCTATTCAACATAATTCACTTCTTGTTCAATTGATGAAATCAAATAATACCTGAAGTGACCTTAGAAATAAATGAATCGTGAGTAGTTCTGTGGTAGTAAGTGTATGATCTAAGGTAGTAACTCTGGCTGACCCTGCTTTGGAGCAGGGTTGCGAAACATGAACCCGAGTTAGTGATCGAGTAAGTAACACCGAAGTTTCCGAACATGGGTATGTTACTCGGGTTAGGTAAACGAACGTGCAGGTTAGGGATCGAGTCAACCCGAGTAGGTTTCCGAAAACGCCTATTGAAGTGATTCCGGTGGCAGAATCGAATAAATAAAACGCAACTATTGACTAATTTATGACGATAGTGAATATCGACGACAAATATATGGAGAGCTATGGGTTTTGCTACAAATAAAAGAAATGAAAAAATATCAAGAACTAAAAGTTGCAATGGAACGTTCAAATTCGAGACAGAGGTGTAAAGTTGAAATAGAAAAAAAAATTTCCTAGTAAACTATCTTGAATTTCAAACAAACAAGCCAATTTTCAGAGATTAATTTGAAAAAATTCAACTTTTCGAATGTAGAAAGTCACGTGACCCCGACGGAGATGTCCATTTTTCAATTTTTAAAAGCAAAACTTAACGGCGCCAAGTCGCCTTTCTAAATAAGCTATTATCGAAAGTTTTTCTCATATGATGCCGACTTTATTATTACAATAATTATGAATGAATGAATTTATTTCAATATAGGTATACATCCTAATATTCACAATATTAAAATTGCAGAGACAATGATTCAGGTACTAATATAATAATAATATCAATCTACATATCTATTCTATCTTATGACATTTGATTTGATAAAGGCAGTTACTTTCGATTTAAACTGACGGAGATTTGTGACATTTTTCACTTCTTGTGGTAACTTATTATATTGATTTAAACCTTTATACAATAATATTTTCATTGAGTTCGATAAGTATTATGGTATTATAAATGGTGGTAGACAGATGAGTAGATATTCGTGTGAAAAAGTGAAGTTTTTTTTTCGACATATAATTGAAATGTGCACCAAAGGTTAGGTTGTTATCTAACATGGAACCAAGGTATTTGAACTCTGTTATAAAATCTAATTTTTCGTTGTTAATGTTCAGTGAAAAAGAATTGATATTTAATTGCCTATATCTATAGCCTGTTGTCAGGACCATAGCGTCTTGGAAATATTTAATTTCAATTTATTCATATTGAAGTACTCATGTAAATGTTCCAAGCATGTGTCCATTTTACTTATAGCAACATTCAAATTCCTATGTGCTATTGATAACAAGGTATCATCAGCGAATAAGTTGATTATAAACATACCTTCTTCACCGAGGCTATCTTGATGTCCAGACTATCGACGGTATTGTTGCCGCTGGTCATCGCGTGTATCGACTTCGAGACGAAATTCTTCGACGTCTTGTCGTCGCCGAACTGCAAATCGGCGCTGAAAAAATCCAGCTTCATGTCGACGCCGTCCTCCTTGAACAGCGGCAGCTGGATCGCGTCCGACTTGTTCTCGCCCTTCAATCGAATTCAATTCGAAATTGTACGGGGAAAGAGACTCACTCCCAAATTTACGTTATTTTTTTCGAGAAAAAAACAAACAAAATGTGGAAGTTGAATGCCACAATGAGGCCATTTCACAGCCCTTATCAAAAGTTTTACAGGGTAATCCCTGAAAGCGCGACGAACCACAATTGAATTTTTGAATGTGATGCTTTCCCTGCTGTTCGATCCAAATGGCACGAGATTCAAAAATATTTCAAGTGTTTTCATAGTCAAAGGAAACAACACAAACACTAAGTCGGTCGACCACAAAGTTCAATTACAAAAAGATTTTTTTGTGACTAGTTTCGGTTCAAGCAGCCATTTTCACCGGATTGAATTTTGGCCAAATGACCCTTGCTATTCATATTTCAATTAAATCAATTATGTGACTCCACGTGTCCTTTTATAGGTACTATATATTGTGTCTGAAGATGGCTGCTTGAGTCGAAACTAGTCATAAATTTTTTTTTTTGTAATTAAACTTTGTGGTCGACCGACTTAGTGTTTGTGTTTTTTCCTTTGAAAAAATCTGGACCACTTTGAGAAGGATGGATGGTTTCCATGTTTTCATTGTCGTTGTACCAACTGAATGTATCAATTGATGCGAAAAGTTTTGGATTCAGTGAGGCGTTGTGTAGTCCATCAGAAGCAAAAAATCATTCGATATTCATTTTCGATGACGTATCATGCGACAAGCAACAGGAAATTCGAGGGTATTTCTCAATGTCAGCCAATGCCAGCCTTATTCTAAGATACCAAAACAGCTAGTGCGAGATATCAGTAACCTGTTGCGGCATTCAAGTTCCGCATATTGTTTTTTTTTTCTAGATAAAAAATAACTTCGATATGGGTGTGAGTCTATCCGATGGGTAAACTGTACAGTATTATCGTTATTATTATGCATTCTTATTGACTGAGCATACAAAAACAGTGAGAGGCGAAAATATGGAATACATTAATTTAATTCAAGCAAAAAGCAATGTTAATTTGTCAAAAAATGTTTTTTCCTTCCTTCTGACAGTAGAACAATGTATTTTGTATTGAATGAATTACATACTTTTAGAATTATGATATGGGTTTCATTGCCCAAAAATGCTATGCCAATGTATCAAATTTGAAAGAAATCTCATGGGTCGTTTCAAATCTGTCTTTATTCTTCTTGAAAGCAGAAGTTCTTTCACACATTTTCAAAATGCTTTCAAGTCTGTCATAATTTTCATTTCAGCTGGTAGATGATTATAGATTTTCCGACTGTCAAATATAATTTGTAAGGGGATGTTTTGGGTCGTAGTACGAAGTAATTGATGTATTCGAAACTTTAATAATCAAAAGATAATTCACAAATCAAAATGACTAAATACTGATGACAGGAGAATCTGAAAGCTCCCTTCACCCGGGAATAATAATGCGGTCTCCACGGCGACGTATACTATTCGGGGTGATGTCTTCCTCTGCTATTTAGGATTTCAGCAGGTCTGGGTTACCTGGGTCAGTTGACTCAGTGGTCGGTGTATTTAATAATGTTACAAATTGGATTTTTCATCATCGTTGAGGTTGGTTTTGGCAGAAGTTCATTAACTTTTTGCCGAGTGTAGTATATATTTTCGGAAGGAAAATCTTTTCATATCTGAATTAGACATACTGTTTCTAAAATAATGATTCAATGAATTGTTACTATTTTATTTTTGATGAACAGTGGTCTACAGGGATCCAAACGCTTAGCTGTAGATATATATTCTACCGCCCTTTTCTGTAGAACAAATACAGATTGTATCAACTGCTTGCTACAGAAACCCCAAAAAGCGATACCATATCTCAAATGCGACTCAACTAATGAAAAATGTATTTCCAGCTACTGTTCCCAATTCATTAGTAATGATCCTGATAGCATTACAGCCTGATGCAAGCTGATATTGTGTATGACATCATCAAACTTCAGGGTTAATCATCAATCCATAATCCCAAGAATTTGGTCTTATTTTCTATGACTGGAGACTTAGAAGGAGACTTAGAAGAAAATTTGAATGAGATTATGTTAGTCTCGTGCACATTGAACCATAGAGAATTGGAATCACTATAATTTTCAAAAATGTTATGTCATAGAGCCGTTTTTTAGTGTTCCACTTCTTTAAAAATATTTGGTCTGGTTTAAAAACTTTGCATTTTAGCATTGACACGATGACGTCGAAGAATTATTTCAAACCGCTGGGCAATGTTTTGAAACGACGGAATTGAATGATTCAATGCTGTCAATTGTTTTAAATTTTGTTTTGTTTCTGTATTTTCCGATATTCCTCATAGTTTTTTGTTTCAACATTTATAGGAAAGTCTGCTTTGAAATGTACCAAGTAATATTGATGACATGATTTTGACTGTTGATGGAGAAACAGATAAAAATAAAAATTCTTACTCACTTTTCAACCTTCTAAACACATAAAATCTCTAGAATAAGTAAAATAACAGCTCTGGCTAGTGGTTTTTGTGGTAGTCAACGAACAAAACAAAAACAACCAAATGACAGCTGACATTTTGGCGATCATCTAAATCATGACATAATATCGAATATGTGTTAAAACCATCATTGAATACGCTAATAAACAGCTCAAGTTTCTGTAAAGATCTTCAAGGGACACCCTGTGGAGTTAACCCTTTCCAGCCCAGTGATGCCATATGACGTCGTTGTAGTTACAGTATTCCTAATCTACATGAAGGAACCTGTATTACTGAAGATCTTGATGGAGTAAGTTATTACATTCTCTCATAGGTGGCAGTAACAGAAAAAAGCCGATTACATCACATTCTGCCATATTTAGAGAATCACATGCAACTGTCAGCTTAAGATTGACCAAAGTGCTCGTGGTGTCTTGAAAATTTGTTCAGATTTTTGTTATTCGAATTTTCAACTCAATCATGCTTAGAGGGTGTTATAATATTACTTCATAAATATGTTATAGAGAAAGATGAATTTCAATCTGATTTTGACCTCTACATGACTATTCAAAAAGGTTTGACCATATGGAGTCACTGGGCATTCAGATGAAGAATGTATTGGACGACCAAATTATAATTTTCTTGTAATTTTCATTTTGAATATAATTTCATTGGAGATAATTCAACTTCTGATCATTTGAGATTTTTAGATGACCAGAGTAGGGCTAACTGACGAGGAAGAACGAGGACTTCTATTGCTTCTAGAGGGAAATGTATCTGATTTAGACATCGAAGAATCAGATGATGAAACCGAGGTTGACGAATCTTATAGGAATTGTGACAGGAAACGGCATGAACTTCATAGAAGAAAATGAAGAAAACCAGAATGCTGATGATGAAATAAGCAATGAGGAAGCAAATGAAGAGAGATACGACTCTGATGATGAAATATCATTGGCTGTTCTATTTGATATTCAAACAACTAATCCATCCAAAAATGTCTCTAAGTCAACAAGAAGAAAAAATCACTGGCATCAAAGAGATTTAGATGAAATAGATTCAATATGCGAAATAAATTTCTCGGAACCACCTGAACCTGAACAAACACCATCTTCTTATTTCAAATATTTCTTTGATATCAATATATTAGAGCATATCGTGCTACAGATAAATGTAAATTCAGTAGAGAAGACTGGATAATCTATAAACTAGGTATTCATATTCTGAGTAGCTTAGTGAAAATGCCAAGTTACCGGGTATTCGCCTATTGCTGATATCATGTCTAGGAATAGATTCGATGAGCTGAGGAACTACATTATGTTTTACAAAAGACAAGAATTGTTTCAAGGTTTTTCGCTGTTAATAAGTTGAATTCATGTTAGTTTGATGAATATTTCGATTTGTACTTGAATATATCATTTGTTCACTGACTCCATATGGCGTCAATTCATTTCAATATGAAGGATATGAATTTTTTTTTTTTGAAAAAAATGGGTTTATTATCATCATTGATCATTGTATAATCAACATCTTATTTTTCCACGAGAAAATAATTCGGGCTGGAAAGGGTTGATCAGATCTTGAGTCGCACCTACCTTGCTCTGCAAAAGCTCGCCCATGTTGCCCGCCTTCCCGAAGCCCTGCAGCTCGACGCTCGGCTCGTCCGGCTTGGCGCGCGCCTTGTCGGGGCGCGGCGCGGCACTACGCTGACCCGGCGCCGACTTGAAGTTCGTGTTCTCGAAAATGATGGTGTTGACGGGGGCGGTGGAGCCGTCCAGCAACGGCTTGTCGGCCGGCTGGCCGGGTGGTTTTCCCAACATCTGCAAGAAATCAATTGATTCGAGTTGGGTTCATTCTGATATATAACATATTGGTCCTTCGAGCCGGATCTTCAATGGAATTCGTATAATATTTCTGTGAAATAAGACAACTGAAAAGCAGAAAAGCCCACAAATGTGTGATCAACGGATGTGGAAATACTTCTGAATGAAACAGAAACTCTTAACATAGGTTTCCAAGAAATATGAACAGTAGGAAATGGATAAGAAGTATTTGGATTATCGGGCGGGGGTTTGAATGAAAACATGCCGACTGGAAGTTCGTGTTCTCGAAAATGATGGTGTTGACGGGGGCAATGGAGCCGTCCAACAACGACTTGTCGGCCGGCTGGCCGGGTGGTTTGCCCAGCATCTGCAAGAAATCAATTGATTCGAGTTGGTTTCGTTCTGGTAAAACAAGATTAATTTTTTGTATCATTCCTCCTGATATACATCCACACAAACATCTCTCAAGCATCGAACATATTGGTACTTCGAGCCGGATCTATTCAAATCTAACCTCCAAGACTTCCAAGTTCTTCAATGGAATTCGTTTAGAATCTCTGTGAAATAGACAAGTGAAAAGCAGAAAAGCCCAGTTATTTTGCACGAAATACACAAATACCTTTGTAAAATAAACACCACCCACCTTCTCGCCACCGCCACCGCCGAGTTGCGACGGCGAATGGCCCGCCTCCGCCCCTCTCGCTGCCTCCACGGCCGCCCCCAGCATCCCCTCGTGCTCCATGCCGCGCAGCTGCGCCACCACCAGCGGCTTGTCCCACGCGCACGCGGGCGCCACCTGGCCCGCCCCTTGGCCCGCCTCTTTCGTCCCGTACAAGTTCACGCCCTGAAATTTATTTCATGTTCATGAATTTCGATAATAGATAGATAGATAAGCTTCATTGTCTTAAATAAACACATTTTGTCGACAAAGTCAAAATCTTGCCATACATTCATTGCAAGATATAAATGAATAAAATGGAAGGGTAGATAGAACACTGCAAAATAAGTTGGGTTTACTCAGTAAAAAAATTTCGTAACGGCATCCGTTATCATTGAAGAAATGATTTTTTTACAGATTTTTCAAGATTATGTCGGAAACTACTGGCAACATTGTAGTGAAATTTTGTATGGATGTTTCTTGGAATCTGACACATCGCATGCATTTGTTTTTATATCTGACTCCCATAGAAGGCGCTAGTTACACGCTTCGTACCGAGTAGTTTTGAACATAACTTTTTTGAGGTTAAATATTTCGATTTGAAAAAATTGGAGTAGTAATGATGCTGGTATGATTCGATTCCACACCAAAAAGGTTCATTTGGTAAAATTCGATACTGTGTTCCGTTTTCGGAAGATTTCGATTTGAAAATGTTGCTGGCATAAAGCTATGTATTAGAGTGAGTATTATGAAAACTTATCACCTATTTATTGAAAACCGAAAACAGCAATACATTTCTGATGCAAAACTCATTGATTCAACAATGAATCACATCGAAACATTTCGACTAAGAACATGGATTACACAGTTTTGTTGTATCTTGAGCAGAAAGTCTATAGTACATAGGTAAATTCACGTCAAGAGTTTTAAGACATAAATGAACATCACTAAAATGACCTAACAGCTGATCCTCAACTGTTAAGAAGAATAATACATTCTTAAGAAAGGAATATAGAATCGTTTTTTCTTCGAAACGTAGGACATTTTGAACACTTACTCCTAACTGATTCAATATTTCATGTTTCAAGTCAAATATCTCATGATTTCCTACGTATGATTCTTTGTTCCATCAATAACTTCAGCAGAAGAACAATTTTATTGTTTTTGAATCTGAATGAATAGGTAATTGAACTCAATAAAATTCATTTTATACCAGCAACAGCTATTACTTCATTATTTTCAAATCGAAATATTCCGAAAACGGAACATAGTATTGATACGCCCTGTATCTCGAGAACTGAAGACCATATATTCCTATCTCAGTGATTATGAAATCACGAGGGCTATCACCTGTCAAACGTTGTCGGTCGAATTTCGCAACACTCTGTATAATCTGGTAAATGATTGTAAATCTTTTTGCTACTATAAATCAAGGATTATCTCGTTGAAGATGAATTAGGTAGAGGAAGAGCAAGGTTTCTTTAATTACGCGTATTCTAGTCTCTATGTTTGTGTTCATGAAATTTCCGTTATATTTGTGAAGCAGACAGACTGTTTCTAAAACAAACATTTCATAGACCGTCAATATCTTATTATTGCGAAAAATTGGCCTGCATGAGTCACGCGTCTTGAGTTTCAATGCAAATCTCAGAGTTCGTTTTTGAAGTACGAAAACACTATTATAGAGACCATGACAGCTACATCCCCAGAATGAAATTCCATACCTCAGATGCGAGTCAATAAGTGAGTAGTATGTCGATATAGAAGCTTGTAATCCGAGTTTTTTTTCCGAGAGGATTTTTTTTCAAGAGCTGATATAATATGATGGTCAAACTTCAAATTGCTATCTATGAGATTCATATGGAAACATAATATATCATATTGTTGAAGAAGTTGTATAAAGTTTGTCCTGTTTCAAGTATGAGCATCTTCTTCTTTTTTTGTGATAAAACGAACGATTCAGTTTTCATTTCATTCAAATTGTTATAATAAAGAAGATCCACCACATGGTCTATGAATTATATCACTAAAATCAGAAAACTATATAAGGCATAATTTATATCTAGCCAAAGCAGGTAAGTCGAGCGGAATATCGAAAATAAATCGGGAATCCATCTGTTTGAATAGTGTTGGAAACATACATTGGCCAAACTAGAAAACTCATGAGTGTAGGTGCACGGAACATCTTGCATTTTTGCATGTGTAACTCAATAGATATATACATTCGAAAACAATAATAGTTGTCATTCTAAAACATTAATGCACTTTTTGACTTGAAATTATATCGGTTAATATTCACCTTGTTCGCATCCCCGAGATCCCCACCGTGCTGGTGCTGCTGCATCGCCTGCTTCTGCAGCTTCTGCTTGGCCAGCCGCGGCGGCAGCTTCGAGGTCTGCCTGCCCCTGTCGAAGCTGTTCTTCGTCTGGGGCAACACGGGCGGCGGATTCACCGGCGTAGCCATCAACGACGGAATGTTCTGGATCTGTTGCTGGGTGAGCTGCTGCGTCATCTTACCCTTCCTATCCCTATCCCTATCCCTATCTCTGTCCGGCTTCGTGTCTTTGACAGGTTCGACCTTCGGAGCGGGTTTAGGCTTGTCCTCTGACGATTTCTGACGTTCTTTCACGGCTTTTTTGCTTTTGACTTCTTGGAAACCCTCGGAATCTCCGTTCACCGAATGGGTTTCTTCCTTTTCTTCGGTGAGAGTGATATCGGCGATGGCGTTGGCCAGAGCGGCCTGCGCGTCATCTTTCTTCGCGACAGGTTGCTTGACGTTCGAGTCGTACCGCTTGTCGCCCGATCTAGGAGGCGGATTATTCCTGCCCCTAGGTTGGGCGGATGCTAACCTACCGTTATTGGGCAGTTTTCCTCCTTGCGCTTTGTCAGCTTCCTCGCTTTTCGGCTTGTTTTTGCGCAGATCAGGCTTCGGCCTCTGTTTGCTTTTATCTTCCAAGGCAGGTTCGGTTCTTTTGCCGATTATACCAGCAGCTAAAGCTTGCTGGTTCTGCTTGATCTTGTCTTCTACGGTAGTCGGATTTTCCGCTGCGGGCACATCTTCCGATGGTTTCTTTACCTCTTTCTCTTCGTGATGGCCGCCGAAAGGGCTCTTGGCAGGCGGGGGGCCATAACCGTCGATTTTCTTGCTGATGCTGGCCATCCTCCCGCTCCTGAAGTTACCCCCTCCTCTGCCGTGCCGCGAGGGTTCGCCTCTGGGCACGTAATTGTCCTTCTTCTCGGGCTTCTCGTGCTTCCGCTGGTCCCCGACGAACTTCTCCGGTTTGCTCCTCTCCTCTTTGTCGTTTTTCCTCATCGGGTTCGGGCTCTTCTGGTCCGTCCCGTCAGATTTTTGAGTATCATTTCTTGCATCAGTTTTCTGGTGGTGATCCTCCATGGATCCGTCCGAGTCGGTGCCGTGGTACTGGCGTCGACTTCTGCTCGGAGGCCTCCTGTTCTGCCAGGGTGGGCCTCTGGAAGATTGGTAATCGTTACTAGGCGCATTGCCCCATCCTTTCTTCTGTCCGTACGGCTTGTTGCGATTGTAGTCATCGGTTTTGTCTTGCTTCTTCGGCTCGGCCAACTTTTGCAGGTTCTCCAGGTGTTTCTTTTCTTCGGCTTGCTTTTTAGCTTGCAGTTCCTCGATCGCCGGTGGTATCGAATCCGCCCAAGCGCTGACGAATTGCGGTTCCTTCTTCTCTTCTTCGAGCTTTTTCAGCTCCGATCTGACTTCCACCTGTTGCCCTCGCTTAAGTTGGGTCAGATTCCTCTTCTCGTTGCGCATGTCGTCTGCTTCGATACGTTCCTTCGTTATAGGACCGGGTACGACGCGCCTATCGTGATCTCTTCTCTTTTCTTCGTACGAAGAAGGGTGCTCGTATGGGGATTCCGACCAAGCGCCCATGTAGTCCCTGGAGCGAGAATCGCGACTGTCCGTTCTCTGGGGCCTCTCTCTTTCTCTCTCGTACTTTTCCGTCTGTTTTTCTTCTCGAATTCTTTCTCTGTGATCGCTCCAATCCTCGCGGTTTTTTTCTCTATGATCGGTCCAATCTTCTTTGCTTTGCTTCCTCTCGGGCATCTTCTCTTTTTGCCACTTGTCCTCTTTGTTTGTTTGCCACTTCTCCTCTTTGTTTGTTTGCCACTTGTCTTCGTCCTTATCCTTTCTTGTGGGCTTCTCGGTTTTATCTTGAGATTTCGGAGGTGAGTCTTGCTGCGAATGATGTGAACTCCGGTAGCTGTCCTCAGAACTTTGCCGCACGTAATCCTTGTGATCTTCCGTTTCCGGACTGTCCTGTTTCGTGTTCCTGCTGCTCTGCTGGTGCTTGGAAATGTTTTGGTTGTTTGAAGACCAACGGTTATCGAACTGTTGTTGTTGCTGATGTTGGTATTGTTGTTGATTCTGAAGATTCGAGTTGCTGTTGTTGTTGTGCTGTTTGAGGAACCTGGGCGGGAGGTCGCTCTGGAAGTGTCTGGAAAAGTTGGGGGCGTTTTGCTCGCGATTGTCGGAAAGTTTTACGTGTTTCCTAGGAGGGAAACTCTTTCCTTGGATTTGCGCGAGTTGTCTGAAGGAATTGCCTTGGGGTTGGTTTTTATCGTCCGTAGGCTCATTAGGGGTACGAGACCTGCTATCTCTCTCACGTTGATCCCTGTCTTGTTCCTTGTCTTTCTGAAAGTTGGGCAAAGGAATATCGACGTGATTTATGGGTTTTGGGGGTACGGTCACAGGGTTGATGGTAGCTACGCCTTCGTGACCATCTCTATCTCTTTTCTGGATCTTTTGCTCCAGTTCCATGAGTTTCTTGGCGGCTGCTTGCTTCCTTTCTTCCTGGAACCTCTTTTCCTCTTCCTCCTTGCGTTGTTTCGCTCTTTGCACGGCCATTTCGACTTCCTTGTCGGTTTGATTGCGTCTCTGCATCCAAATGTCTTCTTCTTCAGAAGTTCGACCTCTGGAGGTGTTCGACCTTGAACCACCCCATTGACGTGACTGAACGTCGCCGTGACTTTCTGTACGTTCTTCCTTCTGGTCGCGATTTGAGTGGTGCCGTTTGCTTTCTTTCTTCGCATTTCTGTCGGATTCGTCGTCACTGAACGCCAACTTCTGGCTGAAAACGACAACAGGTTTTACTTGCTTATCAGAAGGAAATAATTTCATACAACCACCTGGGAGAGTGGGAACTAGCCAGTAGGCACGAAGATGAGTGAATTTCATCAACCGACGACTGATTAGTTGTCACTTTAAAGTGACAATTGTCAATTTGAACTAGCAATTGTTACTCATTGACATTCATTGCCAACTTCAAGAAATAATTTTGTTTTTCAGTGAATTTACGGGTGTACAAACTGCGGTGATGTTATTCAGATTACTTGCTTGAATCTAAACAGGGTTTGGTGCTTATCTCTGGATACGCTCAATACCATTTGAATGATGTGTACATCAGAAAATATTCCAATATGGAGAATTTAATAATGATATCGACACCGCTGCCAGATTTCGTTGTTTTCTACAAATTACTCAAGTGGAGTATACATTTCAAAAGGAATACTATTTAAATTTTGAAATCAAATGCTGAGGTCTATTCATTCCATTGGAGACTGAAGGTATCCACATCATCTTTAGTTAATTCACTATTCAGAAACCAATTTTTAAATTCAAAAAATTGTTGCAACATACATGGTTTTTTAACAACTTTGAAGCCACCCTTGCACTAGTCGCTAGCAAAAGTGGCTGACTGACGGCAGGCTATTGCTATACACCATACACCCTACTATATACTACACAGGGTGTTTGACAAAGACGCGGCAATATCTAAGGGGGTGACTCCTCATTTCATTTTATGAAAAAAAGTTTCCATGAATGTAGGTCCGGAAATGCATTGTTACCAATATACAGGGTGTTGTTTTTTTATTTAATGTTTTCTTAAATTAATACAAATACCTTTTCACGGACTAGATAACAATCAATATAAACAGTGGCGTTATTGGGGAGGAAATATAATATAAAATTAATTAATAAAAATATACGCCACTCACTTTTATTAATCCATAAAATGATTACCCCCTTGAATATTGCGGCGTCTTTTTCAACACACAGTAAAATATCGACATTTCAGCCTTTAGGAAACTGTTTTTTGCCACTCACCTCTCTGCATCAAATGATTTAAATCATGGTTTTTATTTAATCAGATTCAGAAAAAGATAGTTTATTCAAACCTTAATCATAAAGATGAACGCATTTTTTTGTTTCAACAGAAAATCCGCGGCATGCTGCCGAAAATTTTCATGTCAACACAAATATTTTCATATTATCATGTTGAGAAGGTTTTCCAACTAATTATTGTTTAGCAAATAGAGAGAAGAAATGAAAATAAGTTATTTTGAGGTTCAGTATTCCCAAATCCAAATAAAATAATCAGTAGAAATGAAGACTATGATGAAAAAGGTATATTGTTTCATTAGGATCAAATGTGATACTTTGTTTGACAAGCGATATATGCGTATGCGAGGCGAAGCGACGCGAAGCGAACTTTACATCAACTCAACGATAACTATTTAATTTGTTTGTATCCATAGCAACATATACCTCAGCTGATGAGTAAGAAGTGTTGATTACTCGTTAACAGAGAGCTTTATGCAACCGGCCCTAATTACTGTAGATCTTAATGTAGGAACAATCAGCGATAGTAAGTATCCAAAATATGATAATTTAGTATTATAATCCTCCATACATTATACAGGGTGTATCTAAATAACACCAAAAAAATTCAAAGGGTGATTCCTTGTGATATTTTAGGTCATAAAGTTCACATTAACATGTGTCCTAACTTGTTTTATTCATTTCTAAATTGTCTTTTCATCAATTTCAATACAACGTTGCGGTTTTGTTAATAGTAATATGGAGCTTCTTCTAGTAAAAATCAATGCAAATTCCGTGTGGTGAGAATATTCTACCTGCATTAACAGCAGGTTTATTCAATTTTCAAGGATGTTTCAATTGTAGTTTCAATATAAATTCAACTACAGAGTGACATATTTGTGTATGGACCAGGTGCTCTAATGGCAAATACCGTGCCAGTGCCAGCTATAGGAACAAGACGTGGAAAATGTAAACCATATCGTTGTTTGAAACAAAAAAAACATTGCTTACCGTGATTATTCAAAAACATGTTATCCATCCCGAGAATAACGAATGAAATACAGATCAAGCAAGTATTTGAATCTTGAAGGCTTCCTTGACAAAAATACTTAACTGAGTTGAGATAAGGTGTATTTATATCTCCAGCATAGGTGAGAAATGCCAAATCTGCCGAAATCGGAAACAAATCAGGTATGCGTCCCAACCCAAATAACCAACCATAACAATGTTGTTTATTCTTGATGACGTCTAGTACATCCTTTTTAGTTCCTAGGAGATAAAGTTCAACTTTAGCTCCTAGGAACTAAAGTTCAACTTCAGCTCCTAGGAACTAAATGTGTGTCAGTAATAGAAACGTCAATTCAGAAGCTGATTTTGGTATCAAAATGGACGACTTTTTTTTCCGTCACAGAAAGAACATGATTTTTTGCAAGTCTGCTCACTTGTAATCGATCTCGTCCGACTCCGCCCATCCCATATCCTTGCCGATCTCGTCCATCCTTGTCAGCTCCTCCTCCTTGATGATGGGCCGCGGCGCCGCTTCCTCCGTCTCTCTATCGGGCCCCGACAACCTCGGGGGGCGGCCGTCTGCCGTTCGCTGGCCGGGACGGCCGTTCGCCGGCGGCGGCGCGTTGTGTGGACTCGGGACGCCGTTTCCAGGGCCCGGCTGGAAACTGCTACCTTTGTACATCTGGAAGAAATATGGGAAAATTCAGTATGTAATCCAGTAACTTTATACATCACAGTATGCGTCAAATCCGGTAGTTCTGATTTTTTGCAAACTTGTTCATGATATTGACCTCATGAATAATCCAAGTTTGTGACCTTGATCGCCGAACGCAACTTTGTCAAAAATCGAAAAAACTGCGAAAAAATAGTTTTTTTTCTGTGACGGGAAGAAAGTTTGGCATTTCATCTCTGTTGGCAGGCTATAAAATGTAACTTTTCATAAATTACTTTTTTCCCGTTGGAAAAAAGTGAGTACTTTTTTCCCGGATATATATCACACATATATACTCTGTTAATGGCTTTTGTTGTGCTATAGTTCCGAAAAATGAGCCAATAATACCGTCTCCGAGAAAGAACTGCAAGTCCTTTTATCTTCCATTTGACTTCGCGGTTTCGTATATTACTAAACAACTACTGAATTCGCAATTTTTTAAAATCAAATCACAGAATTGAACTGACAGAAGTGAGTCAGATATTTGATTACTTCAAAAGAATGATAAAGATGCCTATGAAACGCAGGTATCCCTACAGTTAAAAACTTGAAATTTCACGTGGATAATTTTTAGATTTCGAAATAATGTAATATCTTCTCAATATTGATTCGTCCTTCCTTCTGTCATAGAAAAAAATAGTGTATTATACACGGGAAAAACATTAGATTTTAGCTCACAACCTGGAGCTAAAATCTACTACTTTTTTCCCTTGTATAATAAATAACTTTTTTTTTCAGTTTTTGGCGATTATAACCCCAAATGACTAGTTTTTGAAAAAAACTGTTTCAGAACGTCTTTAGAGTAGACCAAATTTGCTACAATATGATATAAAAACTGTCTCTGTAGACTCATTAATTTCCGAGATTGAGCCTTTCAGTTTGTAATTTTTTTCGACATCCGCAATTTTTTGCAATCCTGTCGTTCTGATTGAATTTTGACCCTGATTATACAATCGAAGCCCTGTATCTTTCTATTCGTTTCAGCCTTCTACATTTTCTTGTGTTATTCTTCTTCATAGATATAATAATATGTATGTGCTCTGTATTTTTATACTTTCTTTATGTAAATTGCATAATGGGCGTGTACACCTCGGTAGAACTTTTAACTCAAACCATGTTTATAATGATCCTTTCATACATAAATAATGATTGACGACATAATTCGATCGAAAAATTTACTGGAATGTTCAATTTTTTGACATAAATAATAGTACCATCTCAAAACGGACCCTCTTATGACGTAGAAACCTGATCTAGCCATAGTTAAAAGAAGATACCAAACGCCGGACGGAGACTGAGGCAACTGATATATTAATTCTTTCAACTGTGATCTCGCGCTAATTCACTCTGCCAGAAATCATGTATCATTCATCTCTGTCTGGAATAGTCCTGTTTCAGTATTAGGGTTTTGACGTCACATCATCGCCTCGTTTTCAGAGGTCCGAAAAATCGGGGATTTCAATAATTTTTTATAAAATGTAGGGAGCTCACAGCGATAAACGGTTTGCGGTGGTGAGCTAGTTTGGGTGAGTTCTATCGAATTATGGAATAAAATTTTTTTGTGATATAAGCCCATTGGCTTCTCCGTTAATAAATAAATGAATAAATAATTGGCTTGTCCGTTAATGAATAAATATATAAATAAATAAACTCGTCAACTTACGAAAGACGGCATCACCCCTCTCATCTGGGGCGGAAACGGGTTTTGTTGGGGCTGTTGGCCGGCCTGGGCCGTGTGCTGCGGTGGGACTCCCGGATGGGCCGAGTTGGGTCTGCCCTGTCCCGCCATCTCCGCGCCGTGCGGGCCGACGGGCCTTTGCCCGCCTTGCGTCCAGGAACCTGTTCGGAAAGGGGATTTATATAGTTTTATTGACATCGTCGATCGTAGAACAGGCAAGGAGAGTAATAACCCACGGCCGGTTGCATAAAGTAAAATTAATCATACAATCAACTGATGCCACAATAACTTTGATGTTATGTAAATGTCATTTCGGATGATCTGATGTTATAATAATCATTCCATTTACTAATGAACCAATAAAACAAAAAAATACAAAAAAATATATCAATTAGGGACAATGATTTGATGATTGAGATTCCAGCTATAGTTGCTAATATGTTTAATAATTACTTCAGAGATGCTCCAAAAGAGATAGCAAGACAGATCAATAAAGGAAATCTTGATTATCAGTGTTTTTTGAAAAACATCAAATCACCGATAAATTCACTATTCCTCAATCATTATACAGAAGTGGTGGAACTGTATAACCTTCTTCAGGGTAAAATGAAAAATAAATCATCCTCGGGATTTGATGAGTTTCCAATGTTCCTTATGAAAAAATGTCTATCAGTTATTATTGCACCTTTGCTCTTCCTGGTAAATTTAACTTTCACTACAGGTACATTTCCGAATTTGATAAAAACTGGAAGAATAATACCAATTTACAAGAAGAATGGTCCGCATTCATTAGAAAACTATCGGCCAGTCATGATTCCATCCTGTTTTTCATAAGTATTTGAATATGCTTTTTTGAACAGGTTACTTCCATTTTGTGATTGTCACAATCTTTTCACACCGAATCCTGGACAACAAATCAACTACCACAGCCATTAACTCCTATTATAGTGAGATAATTAGATGTATCGAGGCGAGAGGATGCCCTGTTGGGATTTTCTGTGATCTTAGCAAGGCATTTGATTGCGATGACCATAACATTCTCTTAAATAAACTCTTCAAGTATGGTATTCGTGGTACTCCACTGGCCTGGATAGCAGGCTACCTTTCCTTTAGGAAACAATTCGTTGAAATCAACAAAATACCATCTGACTTCATTTCAACTGATTTAGGGGTTCCACAAAGATCAATTTTGGGACCTATATTATTTCTATTTCATGTTAATGACCTCGATGAGTTAATTGATACATGACCATGTATGCAGATGATACCTCCATAATGGGCGTGTACACCTTAGTAGAACTTTCAACTCAAACCATGTTTATAATGATTCTTTTATACATAAATAATGATTGACGACATAATTCGATCAAAAATTAACTGGAATGTTTCATTTCTGAACATAAATAATAGTACCTTCTGAAAACGGAATCTCTTATGACGTAGAAACCTCATCTCGCCTGGAACCAATGAGCGTGACCCATGTGTGACACTTCTCACTGTTGCCATATCATCAAACAAAATATCCGAGAGATCGAAATCGATGAAATCGATATTGAAATATCTTTTGATATCCACTACCACTACTGCAGAAAAATATATTCAAGTTGTCGATTGTAGGTTGAATCATTGGAATCTAAACAATTTCTAGACAACGTAATGTCTCAATCTCAAAACCATTTGCACCATTACAATTTCACAATAATCCAATACATTTAATAAACGCAGCAACATTGCTTTGTTGACCCGTTTTACATGGAGCTGCATTTGCATCGAGTCTTGAATTCCGATTCCGAAGTTATTTATGTCGTCTAAAATGAGAAGAGAAGACAGGAAATGAAATTAACCTCCAAATCTTGCTTTATATTATATTGATATATTGAATATAAACATGAACGTTGAATCAGGATTTGTAAAAGTCTCATCAGATAATCTACCAAAAATTGATTTGGAAATAGTTAATGATGTCTCTAACATACAGTTCGTCAGTGCTGAAGTGAGGAATAGAAAATCTGAAAGGTAAGTTCCACAATATTCATTCAATTTTCATTGCTTGTACCTATTATAGTTGTATTGGAATATTGTTCACCTGAAAGTATATTTAACATCAGAACACCCATCATATGGAGAATCCTCATTAAATCAGTCACTGATTGATATGTTTACCTATGCAACAATATGATCAATTGGCGATCAATTGGTATGAAACAATGTTATTCCCTAGACTAGATACTGCTTGCATCTCCCCCTGAATGTTCTTCTAGGAGATGGATCATTTATTTTTCAAGCAATTTCCCAATGAATTTCTGCAAAGCAAAACTACTACTATATTAATGTGTTTACCCAGTGAGGGGCCAGATTTGTTCCCAAAATTCCCAGCTAAATGATGTTTTTATAATTGCAATTAGGCACAAAACATTTCTTAATCATACTTTTGTCGAAATATTTCAATTTAATATTCGAAAGTTTCGCGAATTGCAAAAAGTTAATATAGGTTAGAATTGATCTTCTTCTTGTTCTTATTATCTTTGTCTCAAAAATCAACTTGCTGATTCACCAATCTTGGTGCTTTGTCAGAAATCATGTATCGTTCATCTCTGTCTGAAATAGTCTTGTTTCAGTATAAGGGTTTTGACGTCACATCATCTCCTCGTTTTCAGAGGTCCGAGAAATCGGGGATTTCAATAATTTTTTATACAACGTAGGGAGCTCACAGCAAGAAACGGTTTGCGGTGGTGAGCTAGTTTGGGTGAGTTCTATCGAATTATGAAATAAAAATTGTTTGTGATATAAGCCCATTATCTCTAATAAGAATGATTCAGCCCTCATGGATAAATGCAATCAAGTTTTCCAAGATTTTAATAGATGGTTTTCGGCAAATAACCTTCACTTGAATGTTGATAAAACAGTTTTGATTCGATTTCACAATCGTCAGACTTTATTACTTTCCAGGCAAAGGAAAATTCTGATCTTGTTATTACAGATAGTGAAAGCACCAAATTCCTGGGACTCTCTATTGGTCAATGTTTGTGGAGGCATAACCATTGTGCACTATTAACAAAGAAATTGAACACAATATCATATCAATTGAACAAGTTTTGAATATGAATCAATTGTTGACCTTGTATTATGCTCGGATTGACTCTAGACTTAGGTAAGGTCTATGTTTCTGGGGCCTATCTTCACAATGGAAAGATGTTTCTATACGACGAACAGTGTAAAGCTCTGTTGCTGCTGCTGCTGCTGCTACTAGTTGATGCTTCTCTATCAGGATTTGATTCAAACCTGACATCACTCTCTATCTTGTTCGGATTTACGTACGAACGACGACATTTGACGTGTACAATGATGAATTCGCATGATTTTTTGTTTAATCGAAATTATATTCCTTCTTCCTTATAATAACACTAGATATCATTCATTAATCTCAAATGTGCTTGTGACTCTAGCAAATTTCACTCAAATGAGGCTAAATATGAACAGGAAAACGGGTTAGTGGCCATCACTAATATTATGACGTCATAGTATTAGGCCGCACAGCCATAGACTAACGCGACAGAATGACAAGATTCAGATTGAAAAAAAAAAGAAGAAGAAGAAGAAGAGGTAGGAGAAGAAAACAGTTTTAAACGCCATAAATTTGAAATTTGAAAATGATAATGTTTATACCAAATACTGCCTAGTGCCGCAATGCCTTTCATCAACAAAAGTATCGCCAGGAAAAATATTCCTTTCATTGCCAGTGGGATTGAGTGATAAAAATAAAGAGGAAAGAAAATTATGGTAGCAAGCCATAAGTAGAAATGATTTATCCGAGAAAACCAGAGGATTTGTTTGTGAAGACCATTTGGAAGTGAGTATACGTTCAAGTATGTCCTAGTGAAACCCATTATATATCAATGATTATGTTCCTAATGTTATTAGGAGAATAATATAATATGTGATTTCGTTTTCAGAAGAAGATATGGAAAACTATATGAGATATAAATTGATAGGTGGTAATATATATTTGAAACAACATGCTAAAAGAAGTCCTGTTTGATCCTTCTCATTGTAGATATTTGCTTATTATTCAGTTATTATCATTCAGAATATATCGCATAATTGAGATAGATTATAGAAACTACAAGCTCAGATAATCATAACTTCACTTTCTCTTCTTATATTATTTTCAATCTTTCGGACATGAACATGCAGCCATGGTATTCTTCTTCTATATTTTTCCATGAATGTTTGACATGACAAATAAAAACAGCCACATCCAGACGGAAATCATCGCTGCAGTTCGGCTGTTGGTCGGAAAGTTGCAAATATTATGATTATCAATCAGAAATTATTAAATATTCGGTGCTTAATAATGTTTTTCGGATGTATAATTCGACATTAATACATATGAGTAATGGAACAAAAATATATTCCAGTGTAAAATTTTCACACGCGTATACCCTATTAGAGGATGGATAGGCATTGGTTTCAAGAGTTCCATTATTTTGTCTTGCCGCTGCTTGCTAGCACTTTTAATTCCTTGGACACCTTCAGCAGTCAATTTAACACAATTCGAACTATTATCAGTACTTGTCAAACATAATGAACATTTGTTATCTTCCATCGCTGCTTTTAATTCACTATATTAGGTATACATGGAATGATATATCAAATACTGAAACCGTTCACTCTCGATCACAGAGAATAGTTTCAATCACAAACCAAAATGATAAGTTTCACACCTCGACACGAATTTAGAGATCTGCTAACCACATTTTCATTTCCAAGAAGACATTGAAATTCGTTCGAATCTTATCCAGAAGATCCTAACATAGGTAGCGGAACATGTGTTGAGTTGTGAAACAATCATTTCGGTTTGGGAACCTGAAATATGAGAATTTGCATTAAAAAATTTCTGCATGAGTGAATGCATCTATATTTCTCGAATGAGTCTTCAGAAAATGGAAACTACATTTATGTGGGAATTATTTCCACCCCAATTCCTTCAACTGCTCTACAATAATGTCTCTTCGCTGATGCAACCGGCCCTCTCAGGGTGTTATTTGTCACCAAAAACCTTATACTCACCTTCCGTCTGCGGCCTGAGGCTGAGCCCCGCGGGGTAGTGCGGAGCCTCGGCGGCGGCGCGGTCGGGGCCGCCCTCGCCGGCCGACAGGCTGGGGAACTCGTGCCGGAACTGGGGGCTGTGGTAGAGGGGCGGGTGGGGGCCGGCCGAGTCGTGGCCGCTCATCACCGAACTCCACAGCTTGTCGACGGGCGCAGGCTGGACAGAAGACGGTGGGGGCGGCTGAGAAAAAATCGAGATCTTCTGTTAGATTATTGAAATATAAATCGAAGAAAAGGAGAACACCAATTGCTACCTTATTTCCCTTTGTTCTCACGATGTTCTCTGTACCATTGTCGTTCTAGATGACAACCTAGTTAGGTAGTTAGTAGGCAGGAGCTATAATATTGTCTGTTCATTGAAAAGACAATATGTAGTTCAGAGACATCTACGTGAACTAAGTAAACTAAGTTATTCATATTTTATTCCTAACCCATAACATTTTTCATGGTCCTGTCAAGTTTGTAAATAAAAATCTGTCATGTTGAAACCCGAAAATGAAACATTATCACGAAATATATTATCGAGTATGAAAACCATCTACCTATACTTGAATGGAAGCAGGGAGATGTTTAGGCAATGCTGTATCAGGTTGACTTATGATGCAACTTGAATTTAAGTTGGAACTGTGGAAACTTCGGAAACTCATCAGTGCTTTTACACTTTTTCGACATGCAAGCCAAGCAGAAAGGTAGGGGCTGCTTATTTCCTTCTATATTTTTGATGAGTTACTATATAATTCATGGAATTCCGTTATTTGCAGTGAAAACATGTCTTTAGTGATGTAAACTATGTACACATCGGAATCACTATACTTGAAAATTTCAGGTACCTACCTACAGCGAAGAGTACCTACATGAATAGCTTTTCAGTTGAAAAACGAAAAACTATGAGTGATACAAACAAATTGATGTGGAAGAATCACATCAGGAATCATTATGTGAGTAATGTTCAGAAGAAATGTACCAGAAGGATGATGATGTTTGAGAACAGAATGGAAAATTTCCCATCTGGGATGAATATATAAAAGCAATAAGGTTAGACTCACTGTTCATTTCATCAATGTCTTATGGATATTCTGCTCCAAACACAAAATATCAAGATGCTGGGATATTTAGAATTTTTTTATTGGAAAATAACTTGTATATGTACGAATGACAATACAAATATATTTTTTAATAAATTGAATATAATTATGAAGAATTATTGCAATTTTTATTCTACTAATTTGTTCTCCTCTGATACCCTGATTATTGTTGTACAGATGTATCGGCAGGTAAGTTTGAAAACACTTTATTATATTGTACCAAAGGTATATAGGTTAAATATATGTTTTGCTGAACAATGATTATTTTTTATAAAATCATCTTATCCACTTCACTAAATATGGAAAGATGTGTCTATAATTGCCACAAATTGAACCATAGGAATATTCAATACCAATATGTATAACTTTTTAATTTATATTATGTACTCATTTTGAATAAACTTCATTATTATTTATTATCATTCTATAATATCTGTTCAAATGCCCGTTTCCTCCTCAGATGCTTCTTAATCTTCAGGTCGTGTTCCTTAAGGAAGGAGTTCCTCTTCAGCATCATATTCCAAACTACATTGATGAGTCTGAAACTATAAAAATATTTGATATATATTTTGTCCCCAGTTTCAATGATCTGTCCCAAAGTCAAGTTCTTGGTAATTTTTGTACTGAAACTAATAGTTCCAGTCAACTAGAAACTAATAAGCGGATTGCTACAAAGAGTTTGTATAGGTAGGAACTTGTTAAAAATCATTTTATTTATATATACCTTCCTTTAACAAATTTGGAACCGAACCCTCCTTCCAAAACCGTTTCCAATTCTTCATTGGCAAGAAACAGTACCCTTAAAATGTTGGAAACATACAATATCATGATCGCTCACTTCAAAAACTCCCATTCCTGGAATATCAATGCATCCAGTTTCAAATATTATGCGATTCAAGAAAAAAATTTCACCTTGCAATCCAATGAATATGGCATAAACTCATTGATGCCTCTTGTGGCTCAAATTCACAACAGTGAGGATAGGGGAAACCAGGTCTTGATAATTTTACACCTCCACCTCCTGGAGTGCGAAGTTTTCAAATAACACAATCGCACTCACAAACCAATCAACAAACTGCAATAGAAAACCAATACTAGAAGAAATAATTAGGAATAATTATGATTTTCAAGAATACGAATTCAAAGTATAACATATTCACAAAGACGAAGTTATAAGTTAATGACAACTGTCAGAAAATAATTTTTTGATTATGACATCTCAATCTCATGAAAGAATCTTCTTCATCGCCTTTGTATCAAATATCACGTCAATGATGGAAAGCACATCTGTGGTTGAGTACATATTGGAAAAACATAGAAGAAAAGAATATCAACCTAATATGGTCTATTTTGACATAAACAAATTAGCTCTTTCCATTTTCTCATCCCCAGCGCCACTTGACAGACAGACATATTTTGATTGAATGAACAGACAATATTATACCTCCTCGCACTAGGTCGCCTACTAGGTTTTCATTTAGATCGACAATGTCTGTACATTACAGGATATCCCTTTTCGTGGGAACCAGAACATAAAAAAATAACATAAAAGGATCATGAAAACCCATAGCCAACCTGTTTGTGTGGATGCGGTATCGCGTTGTTCGTCGCCGGCAGGGCAGCGGCAGCCTGATGCGCGCTCGCCTGCGCCTGCGCCGGCTGACCGGCCGCCCCGTTCTGGCTTTGGCTGGCCGCCGGCGGGGTGTTGGGCGGCTGCTGGGCGGCCGCGTGGGCCTCCTGCTTGCCCCATCCGGGCGCGCCGGGCGGCACTAGGGGCACGGCCGCGTCCGATCCGCTGTGCTCGGCCTTCAGAGACGGGAGGTTGGCGGGGGCGCGACGGGCGTTCGGGACCTTGCCCAGCGATTGCATGCCATGCTTGATGTAGACGGAGGAACTTTTCTGTTGCTGCTTTTCCAAGTTTTCGCCCTGGAATGAGACATTTTTTCATTAGGCGAGTGGACTATTCTTTTTTATTTGTTAAATACAGGGTGTTTCATTTTTTTGTAGCAGGACTTTAACAGCTTGAAGAAGACATTTTTTCAGGATGAAAATCTCAAACAAACAAATATGCGTGGGAGCTTCGTTTCCGATTTACATGGTGTCAAAGTTTCAGATTTTTTTTATGTTTTTTTAATTTTCTCCTACAATTTTTGGAATAATTGATTGAAATTTGGTACACCTGATACACTTCAAAAACTCAATATTTGAGGCTATTGAGCGTTTTTGAATACCTACAGGGTGATAGACTTTCAGGGGTCGTACTCAATTTAACCCTGTAGATCTTTTTTGCGTGCCGCCTCTGCTTTCAATGGGACATAGATTCAGTTTGTCTCTGCAATTTGGAAACGTTTTTTCCCCATGTATGTTTTTCGAAAACTGTATGAATTTCGAGATGAGAACCACTTCTAAGGGTACTGATAAAATTAGAACTGCCGTTCACGAGATTAAATTACACCTCAACCGTCAAAAGCGACAGTCTAGCGATAAGGATGGACTTCTAGCGATGTATAGCGCCTAGACCGTGTGTCATACAGTCCCTGATATCGAAAGTTTAACCTGTTTCAATTATACAGGGTGTCCTAGAATTTTCTACAATACAATTTCAGATTTTGCAATCCGGTTAGAGAAGTTTTTTTGAAATAAAAACATTTTTTCTTTGTTTGTCCTAGTTTTGATTATAATGGTGTTCAAAAAATTCAACCTCATTTTGCAACTGAATTTCATTTGGTATGGAAGCTTTCGGTCATTCTATTTTCCAATAAAATGTTTGAGAAATGTCAAATAAGTAATTTATTTTTTGCATTTTTCTCGAGATCCATACAGTTTTCGAAAAATTTACATAGGGGCAAAAAGTTTCCATATTGAAAGGACAATCTGAATCTATGTCCCATTGAAAGCAGGGACGGTACGCAAAAAAGTTCTACAGGGTGAAATTGGGTACGACCCCTGAAAGTCTATCACCCTGTAGGTATTCAAAAACGCGCAATAGCCTAAAATATTGAGTTTTTGAAGTGTATTATGTGTACCAAATTTCAATCAATTATTCCGAAAATTGTAGGAGGAAAATTCAAAAAACATAAAAAAAATCTGAAACTTTGACACCCTGTAAATCGGAAACAAAGCTTCCACGCATATATGTTCGTATGAGATTTTCATCTTAAAAAAATGTCTTCTTCAAGCTGTTGAAGTCCTGCTACAAAAAACTGAAACACCCTGTAGAATCATCAGTCAAATACCTTTCAATTTCATGGTTTTTAAGATTTTTTCGGTTGATTTTCAGGTGCTAAAATCATCAATAATGCCACGGTAATTTCCAAACCGTTAGAAATTTACCGCCAATAAAAACTGACGTCACGATTTCGTAAGTAGGGACATAACTTAGCACAGTTGCCATGTCGCACGTTGAGAACAATCTTGTGACCACTCAGGGGGAGAGAGAGAGAAAAATCTTTATTGGGGAATTACCCAAAAGGCTATCGACCGAAGTCTTTCAGCCTATTCACAAATTTATACATTATCATTAGGGATGCACCGGGAACTGTTTTCTGAAAAAGCCGGGTATCGGTTACCCGATTTTGAAGGTAGGCCGGGTAACGGATACCCGGCGACCGGGTATTATCAACCAAATAAGTGCATTGAAGCTGTCGTGTAGTTTCTATATTCCATCATATCTATCTCCTAATATCTATATTGCACTAAGCCACAATGCCGACGAACGTTTTTCTTTGAAACATCAATAAAAACCATGCATAATCAGAGGCAGATAAAGGCAACCCAATGTACACACAGGCAGGAGATTTTGTTATTTTTGTTTTTCCATCCCACCGTGCGTGTGTATCAATCGTGAATGAAGGGGATTCACCGAGAAAGGAAAGGGGATTCACCGAGACAGGATGAAAGATGAAAATACGGATTACAGATTTTACTACGGGCATATAGATAGGCGGCATTTATTGTGTTTGAATATTTTTGGTTACGTATCTAGCAAATTGTTATATAATTCATAAACCTCCTGTACTTCACTATCACATTGTTTTCTATATCCATCAAAATTTGTTTATAATTTGTCATATATTTGACATTAGTTAAATGAACGCTGTAGTTTTTGCGTATTAAAGCCTACAAATCGTAAAGGTTTTATTCATTACAATTTAATACGCAAAATTGATGAATCATGGATAAATTTATGCGTCCAGAAAGATTCGAAACTGATCCAAGCTCAACGAATGCAGCGAAGGAATGGACACATTGGCTCAGAACGTTCAAGAACTTCTTAGAAATATCTGATGGTGCAAATACACTGGACTCAACTAGTAAACTGAAACTTTTAACCAATTTTGTATCACATTCTGTTTACGACTACATTAGTGAATGCGAAAACTTCGACAGAGCTCTCAAGGTACTTGATGAAATATATATAAAACCTGTGAATGAAGTATTTGCCAGACATGTGTTAGGTACTCGTAAGCAGTTACCTACAGAAACCATCGACCAATATATACAAGCTTTAAAAGTGCTAAGCAAAGACTGTAGTTTCAAATCAGTGTCATCAGAACAAAATAAAAGCGAATTTATAAGGGACGCCTTCATCAGTGGCCTTCAGTCAAGTGAGATACGACAACGTATACTAGAGAATAATACTCTGAATTTGGATAACGCCGTTTCTCAAGCCCGGTCATTAGAAGAAGCTCGAAAACAATCTTTGCAATACATATCTACAGAAAAATACATAAATTCAACTCAACTGATGGAACAATCGGAGGAAATATCGGGTAGCATCAATCATATAACAGCACAGCGATGTTACTTTTGTGGAAATAATCGACATCCGAGAATCAATTGCCCAGCACGAGAACAAACTTGTACATACTGCAAAAAAATTGGACATTTTGCCAAAGTGTGCATGCGATCAAAGAATAGCAGAATTTCGAAAAGCAACAATCCAACGTCAGCTTCTACATCTTTAATTGCTTCTGCGTCATTTCAAACAACACACTGTCTTTCAAAAGCACTTATCAATATTAAATTGAATAACGTTTCTGCACAAGCTCTAATTGATACAGGGAGCTCTGATAGTTTCATCGATTACAATTTTGCAAGAAAACATATGTTTCCAATAAAACCCTCTCACGGTCAAGTTTCCATGGCTTCCACGCTATGTTCTTCTACTATACACGGATACTGTTTTGTAGACCTTCAACTACTCGATGCTCAATATGTTAACTTCAAGATAGCTGTTCTGTCTAACCTTTGCTCTGACATCATCATTGGTCATGACATCATGAAGCAACACACGCAAGTGAATGTAATATTTGGAGGACCAAAGCCTGCCCTGTCATTCTGCTGCCTAGTACAAGCAAAAGTAGAACCACCATTGCTATTCAATCTTAATCAAGACTGCCGTCCGGTTGCAACCAAATCTCGAAGACATTCAGATGACGATGAACAATTCATTAGAGATGAAATAAAGAGTTTACTGAACGAAGATATCATTGAAGAAAGTACTTCCCCATGGAGAGCCCAAGTGTTAGTAACCCGAAGTGAAAATCACAAGCGACGAATGGTTATCGATTATTCACAGACAATTAATAAATTTACATTACTTGATGCGTATCCGATTCCCAATATAGAAAATATCGTTTCAAATGTGGCAAAATATAAGGTATTTAGTACCATAGACCTGAAAAGCGCGTACCACCAAATACCTATACAAGAAAAGGACAAACCGTTCACAGCTTTTGAGGCAGCTCGTAAACTATACCAGTTCAAGAGAATTCCATTTGGGGTGACAAATGGCGTTTCTTGTTTTCAAAGAGTTATCGATTCCATAATATCTAAAGAGTATTTAGAAGGAGTGTTCGCTTACTTAGACGACGTAACCGTATGCGGAAAATCTCAAGAAGATCATGACAAGAATCTGAAAAAATTTTTAAGCACTGCCTCAAAATATGGTTTAACATTGAATGAAAACAAATGTACCTACTCGAAGAGTTCAATAAGTCTTCTTGGCTATACCATAGAAAACGGAACACTCAAACCAGATCCAGATCGTCTTAAGCCACTTATTAATTATCCTGTTCCCAATGACGCGGCCAGCCTCAAACGTGTGATAGGTATTTTCTCACATTATTCCAAATGGATTCAAAAGTTTTCAGACAAAGTTAGAAGTCTCATTGATTGCAAAACATTTCCTCTACCACAAAATGTAATCAACGATTTTGAAAACATCAAAGAGGATATAGCTAAATCACTCTTATGGACTATCAAAGAAGATGAACTTCTTGTTGTAGAAACAGATGCGTCTGATTTCGCCATAGCAGCCACCTTGACCCAGTCCAGTAGACCAGTAGCATTCTTTTCAAGGACTTTATCCCAATCTGAACGCCATCATTCATCTGTAGAGAAAGAAGCATACGCATGTGTTGAAGCAATACGAAAATGGAGACACTTTCTCATAAATCGAAAGTTCAAACTGGTGACAGATCAAGAAGCCGTATCATTCATGTTTGATATGAGACATGCAAGCAAAATTAAAAACGAAAAAATCATACGCTGGCGCCTTTCGTTGTCGTGTTATAATTATGACATTGTATATCGTCCAGGCCGTTCGAACTTAGCTGCAGACGCCCTTTCAAGAATATGTTCAGCAAGTTCCAAAGAAAAACTCTATACATTACATGAATCTTTATGTCACCCTGGAATTACCCGAATGTACCATTTCGTGAGAGTGCGAAATCTACCGTATTCTATAGAAGACGTTAGGAATATGACAACTTCTTGTCCAATTTGTGCCGAGTTGAAGCCAAAATTTCATAAGAATATTGGGAGCCACCTTATAAAAGCTACTTCACCATTCGAACGACTAAATATTGACTTCAAGGGACCCCTACCAAGTTGTACCAACAATAAGTATATGTTAACTGTAG